ACAAAAAAAGGAGCTATTTCTTGTAATTATCCCCACGTAAAGCTACAGTATTTTGTTTTAAATACAGATTTTGTGCCAAACACATCTGATGATGAGCGAAGATATAAAATAGGCAATCAGGCCAGTATTGGAATGTTTAATTTAAACAAGTTATTACAAGCTCTAAACCCATTACTGGATCCTAGGCAAAAGCAACTGTGAGTAAATCCCAAATCTACTAATAAAAGTTGCATGAAAATATTTTTTGTATAACAAAAATTTTTTGAAAAGTAGGAAACCAACATTTTAAAAACCATCTTATTATTTAGTCCTTACTAATGAAGGCATTTCAAACTATATATTTTTTCTAGTACAATTTGTGCTTTTTTGCATGGTTTTTGCAGTAAAGTTTTTTTTATTTATTACTTTTTAGATATTATGAAATCTGTTTATTTCCTGTTTGAGCCAAGAGTTATTTATCACTGTATTTCTTAATTCCCAAGTATTCAGAATTATTTTGTCTGTATTTTTAGGATCAGAGAATGTGTTTGGTAAAATCTCTGCTATTCAAAATGTGTTAAGCTTTCTTTGTGACCCAACACAGAACATTTTTGGATATGTTTGATGATCGTACATAAAAATATATACTCTGTAGTCAGAGGTTTTAATACGTCAAGTTGAGTGTATTGCTGTATTAATATTATTCAAATCCTTTATGGCTCTATTTATTTTTTATCTGTTAGATAAGTTTGATTCTTAAGAGATGTGTATTAAAATCTCTTGCTTTAATTGTATTTTTATCAAGCTATTTTTTCAAATTGAAATTTACATATTTTGCTATGTGTTACTACTGGTACATATAGGTTTTTCACTTATATTTTCTTCAAAAAAAGTACTGTTTATCCTAACAATGGTCACCTTTATTCTGATTCATGCTTTTAACACTCAGTTTCAACTTATCTGACATTAATATTGCCATTCATGCTTTCTTTTTGTTGGGTTTACTTTGAATCTCACTTTATTTTCTACCTTTCTTTTTCTACCTATCTTTATTTGTTTTAAAGTGTGTTTCTTGTAAAAACAAACAAAATATATAGCCGGTTTTAATTTAATGTGATGCTTTCTGTCCTAATAGACATATGTAACCTGTTCACATTTATTATAACAATTGATATGTTTTATTTATTCCTTCTATCTTACATTGTACTTCATCTTTATTTGACTATTGGTTTTCCCCCCCTTTCCTTATCTCTTTCTGATTTGAGCTATCCATTCATCTCCCCACCCCCTTTGATTTGGAAGCTCAACTGAAAAAAAGGTTTTGTATTCCGCTGGTTGTTGCCTTGTTTTTTCTGCCACTCTTTCTACTGCTACATGAAAACAAGTTTCCATATATTTTCTCTCACTAAGATCCTGTTTGCCCATTGCGACCCCTTCATCCAACAAGATGAGACTTTAGACTGTTTTTATGGTTTACATCTAGTAACCTAGCTGCTAGATTTTGCTAAGATAGTTTAGTATTTTGAACTTCAGATGATTAGGTTTTCCCTTGTAGTGTGTCTCTTCTGTTTTAAGCGTCTTTGGCTTCAGCACTCCCCCCCACCCTCCTTAGAGTCATTTCACCATTCTTTTTTCATGGTTCCATCTTAAAGTCGCTGTCTTGATTACTTTCTTAAGTGCTTCACTCAAATGGGGTATATAGGTGATATGTTCTCCAAATTCTGGCATCACCATTAGTACAGGTGTTTTTATTTTACTGTGACAGGTGATTGATATATAGGGTGTCAGAGTATGGATTCAATTGTGTGCAATGGTCTATTATCGTGTCTGTTAATCTGCAGACCTGAGCCGTATTCTGCAGACTGGCTTATATCAGTAATAAGCTGAGGTTTTAATCTCCATCTATCTACTGTATGGCCTCTCATTCTGAATTTACGCTGAAGAGTAAATGGAACATGGTTGCCTTTTTTTAAACAACAGAGTAAACAATAAATAGACAAATCTGCAATTTTATAATTGCTCAAATTGAAATATATTTATGTTTATGAATAAGTATGAATGATAATCTGAGTACATTAATAATTATATAAAATGTTAAGTATTTATTGATTCAACCACCAGACATTGAGCTCTTTGAGGGCAGGGACCACATTTTAAACATTTCTGTGTCTCCAATGTGATGATCAAATATATTTCTCTTCCCTCCCTCCCTATCCCCCTGCCCCCTACCCCCAATCTAAAATTTACCCTGTTTCTAGTACAACAAGATCCCAGATGCAAGGCAAGGCATATAGTGATTTTATTAATCCCAGGTAGCAAAAATATTACTTCAATAAAAATAAAAGGCTTGTATTCCATCTATAGTTTCCTTAGTTTAATTTAAAAATATATTGGTAATACCGTCACATCGTTCAAAATCAGAGCGATATAAAATGATATTCATTAAGGAATCTTGCTCCCACCCTTCTCTCCGTCAAGTTTATACCCATTTTGCCCTGCAGAGTTTATTCATTCTACAAATATTTATTGATAGTAGTTAGATGCTCAGTATGTGCCAGACACTGCTGAGTGCTAAGGGGACAGCAATGAAAAAAAAAAAAAGGAAAAAAAATTGTGCCCTTTTGGTGCTTACTTCTGGTGGGAGACACAGTCCATAAACAAAACAAGCTATCTAGTGTATTACAAAATAAGTACCACAGAGGAAAATAAAGCAGGAGGTAGGGAGCCCAGGGAGGGAGGAGTTTGGAGTTTTAAAAGAATGGTCAGCAAAGACCTCACGTGAGCAAAGGCTTGAAGGAGCTGCAGGAGGAAGCCACGCAGTTATCTGGGGTAAGAATGCTACCTGTAAGGAGCAGCCTGTGAAAGGCCGTGAGGGGCAGTGTGCGTGGTGCATTTAGGAACAGCAAGGAGGACAGCATGGCTGCAGCAGAATAAACCAGGGGCACGTTAGAGAAGATGAGGTCAGACAGGTAAAGGAAGTGGACTTCAGAATGTGTTCAGCTCTTGTGTAACCAAAAACACATTTAAGAACGTTGAGAGATAGATAATTTGTTTAAAGATGGGTTTAAGGTTAACTCTGTAATTTTTATATTTTTATGAAATGTTTCATTATTTTTCATACTTTTAGACAAATAAAATATCATATTGGATAAGGTATATATTTACAATGCATTATTTTGAGTCTAAGATGATTTCTAAAATACACCAAAAGCCCCATTTATGTAACTCTCTTGGTATCATAGGGACATAGCAACATGTATCCTATAAGCTAATTGTTTATAGTGACATTGCGGGGGTGACATGATTTGACCTGTACTGTATCCAAATCTTTGAGACAATAAATTTATATTGACAGTTTTCTCTGAGATAGGATACATAATTAAACTACTAAACCAGGATCAGTAGCATGTAATCTCCATGTTATTTTGTATATAAGAAGGTTCACTTTTTTCTTATGAAATGTAATTCAAGAACATTCACAGTTTAACTGTCCTTCCTTTCTTTCCTCCTAGTGCTGCTCAGATTCTTCAGGGGTACCCTGTTCTTTATTACACAAGGTTTGTCATTTTTGAATACAGATATTAAAGCATCCTGGTTGGTTAGTGAGAATTTTAATAACAAATGGAATCAACACTTCTCCTTTTAGATTTCGAACATTGTTCAAAGCCAAGTTGGGATTACTTGGAGAAAGGGAAGGTGATGATGATTTAATTGCATTTCTCTTGCATGTGAGTTTATCATTTCATCCTTTTTTTCTGATTAACATTTTATTTATTATACGGCGTATTTTTGATTATTGGGATTGATAAATATAATTACTTTCTTTAGCTCATGGAAAAGACAGAAGCTGATTTTACAATGACGTTTCGGCAGCTTAGCGAGATCACTCAAAGCCAGTTACTGGAGCCCAGCATTCCTCAGGTATTAATTTGTGACATTTGGCTTTTCTTAATTCAGTTTTCTTTAATAGGTCCATCGATATATAATTTACATATCATAAAATTTTACTTGTTTTAAGTGTACAATTCTGTGATTTTTAACAATTAATAGATTTGTGCAGTTGTCACAATTCCATTTTAGAACAGTTCCATCATTCGAAAAAGATCCCTGTGCCCATCTGCAGTCAATTCCTGTTTCTGCTTTCAAACCCAACCAATTTCTAATCCACCTTCTGTCTCTAAAAGTTTTTACTTTCTAGATACTTCCTACAAATAGAATCATGTAATATGCGGTCTTTTGCATCTGGCTTCTTCACTTAGCACGTTTGAGGTTCATCTATGTTGTAATCTATATCAGTAGTTCTTTCCTCTTTATTACTGAGTCGTCCATTGTATGGAGATACCACATTTTGCTTATCCATTTACCTTTTGATAGACATTTGGGTTGTTTCCATTTTTTGGCTGTTATGAACAAATGCTGCTGTGAACATTCATGAACAAGTTTTTCTGTGGTCATATGTTTTTATTTCTCTAGGGTAGATACTAGGATTGTTTAGTAAATGTATGTTTAACTTTTTAACTAACTGCCAAACTGTTTCCAAAGGGGCTACTACACTTAATTCAGATTTAAGAATACATGTTGCCTTTTTATTTCAATGCTAATACATTGCATTTGTGGAATAATATGCGTATTACCAGAAAACTCCTACTTAGTGTAGAGTTTTAGAAACAGATCAATTTTAAGGTCTACGTCTTTTAGATTGCTTGTAGATTGCTTTTATTATTTTTAAGATTAAAACCCAGTTTTATTTTAAAGCATTACGGGATACAAATAGTTTTGGTATTTTGGTTACATTAATCACTTTCATAATGCTTGAGTCATGGTTATAGGAGTACCCATCACCCAGATAGTGTTTATTGTACTCATCAGGTACGTTTTTGCCCATCCCCTCCTCCCCGCTTCCCCCACGTTGATTTCTGTTGAGTTTTACTTCCCTCTGTGCACATGTATGCTCATTGGTTAGTTCCAGTTTAATAGTGAGTACATGTGGCATTTGTTTTTCCATTCTTTAGATACTTCATTTAGGATAATGGTCTCCAGGTCTGTCCAAATTGCTGCAAAAGGCATTAATTCGTCCTTTTTTATGGCTGAGTAGTACTCCATAGTATATGTATACCACATTTTGTTAATCCACTCATGAATTGATGAGCACTTGTGTTGTTTCCACCTCTTTGCAATTGTGAATTGTGCTGCTATAAACACTCTAGTGCAGATGTACAATTTCCCATCTTCCCTATGTATGGTGACTTTTGGGACACCCTGTATATTTCTTTTTAAGAGGGAAAAGTTTATTAAAGATGGTTTCACACCTGAATTTTACCACACCTACAAAGAAGAACTGGTGCCTATCCTGCAGAAATTATTCCACAACATCGAGAAGGATGGACTCCTCCCCAACACGTTTTATGAAGCCAACATAACTCTGATACCAAAACCAAGAAAGGATGCATCAAAAAAAGAAAACTACAGATCAATATCCCTTATGAATATAGATGCAAAATTTCTCAACAAAATTCTAGCTAACCGAATTCAGGTGCTTATTAAGAAGATAATCCACCATGACCAAGTGGGCTTCATCCCAGAGATGCAAGGATGGTTCAACATACGCAAATCTATAAATGTAATTCACCACATAAGCAGAAGCAAAAGCATAAATATTTATTAAATAAATTAACAGGCAACTAAATAAAATGCAATTGCAAATTAAGTTTTTAAAAGTAAATTATGCATTAAGGGAGTTCCCTATGTAATTGAAGCCTTTTGATAACGTAAGTATTCATCATATAATCTCTGTTTATAAGAATTTTGTGTATATTCGTTATTTCATTTAAATCATGCCATTACATGGATTTCTATGAATTCTAATTTTGGAGTTGAATGATATATAAGGAAAAAGAAAATATTCCTTTTTTTACTACTTCTACTTGAAATAGCATTCTTTATAGAAATCTAGAGAAGTTACTATTAAAGAACATAAACAATTTAAAGGAACATGAAGTTAAAATAAACTGAACAAGTATTAACATAATAAGCAATATATTATTGTATTTTCATTTAGCAATTCTGGGCACTGAAGACAGTTTCAAAGCACACACTCTTTCCTGCCTGGGTGTCCCAGTACCTTTTGAGACTGAAGAGGTAAAGTCATCTAATCACCTCCAAAAACGCATGTGATGTATTATTTTATCATTGTCCACCTGTCGGGTTCCCCTCTTCCTTTCCATCGTGTAGCATTTCCTTTTCACTCCTGGGCCCTTTGCTGTAGCTGAGATGTCTACACCTCATCCATGCAGAGAGCACTCATGTGTTCACCTCAGCTGTGATAACACAGCTTGGCGGTTTCTAGAGCCCAAGCCCTGACACTCCGGAGGGGAGTGCCTTAGGCTTTCCGCCAGCGTCTCTTGTCACATATTATGCAATTATAAGAAGTCACTTTGTCGTATAACTCACAATGAATTAAAAGCACCCAATATGAAAGAGAAATCAAGTTGAAAATTGCCCAGTTTGTTGTCCCAGCTACTTGGGAGGCTGAGGCGGGAGGATCGCTTGAGCCCAGGAGTTGGAGGCTGCAGTGAGCTGTGCACTCCACCCTGGGTGACAGAGAGAGACCCTGTGTCTTAACAGAAAAAAAAAAAAAAAGACAGTGTGAGTTGTAGGTAGTGGCAGCTGAAGGGAGAAGGAAGAGGTAGGAAAACCCCAGGATGCACAGGAACAAATCGCCCTTCGTAGTTTAATGGCAGCTGAGGGCTATTTATAAAGGGGACCTTGAGTAAACAAGAAAAAGTTAAATTATTTTCAGAAAACTATGTTTAAGTTTAGATTTCTTTTCAGACAAAAAGATTTTTTAATTGATTAAAATAAAAGAAAGTTTGGTATTTCCTAAAACAACTAAACAAGTAGTATTTTATATTAATACATTGTTTAATTAAACTCAGTATTTTCTATCTTCCTTTCAAACACTGATTCAATGTGATTGTGGAATTTTTTTCTCATTATTTGTCTTATGAAATAATTCCCTTCTATTTGAAACAAAGATATAATTTGGGGAGATAGTGGTTAATTTTGTTCTTTGTTTTATTCATTTTTAGTAACAAGAATGACTCAGATTCTGAAAGAAGAAAAAGAATGACAAGTAAGTAATCCTTTTGATTTTCTCTATGTTAAGGATTATCACATAAAAGCAGTGACGTAAGGGGACTGAGTTGTTTGTTTTATTTTGTTTTTGTTTTTTTTTTTTTTTTTGAGACAGAGTCTTGCTCTGTTGCCCGGACTAGAGTGCCATGGTGTCAGCCTAGCTCACAGCAACCTCAAACACCTGGGCTCAAGCAATCCTCCTGCCTCAGCCTCCCGAGTAGCTGGGACTATAGGCATGTGCCACCATGCCTGGCTAATTTTTTATATATATCTTTTTAGTTGTCCAGATCATTTCTTTCTAATTTTTTAGTAGAGACGGGGTCTCGCTCTTGCTCAGGCTGGTCTCGAGCTGGTCCTGACCTTGGGCGATCCACCTGCCTCGGCCTCCCAGAGTGCTAGGATTACAGGTGTGAGCTACCGCGCCCGGCCTTATTTTGTTTTTAACTAGAATAATTCTAGGAGAGTATGTATTGGTTGAGTTGAAGTGTCATGTATGGGCTTCTTTAACTTCAGCAGGTGACTTAACGTAAAATATGATATTTAACAGTTTTGCTTTCAATAAGTTTGCACACTAACGTTAAAATAATACTGTCTTAAAAGATGGTGGAGAGACAAGGAAGGTGGTTTGGGATGTGGTGGAAAGAATATGGATTTTGTAATCTGGCAGATGAATCTTGTCTCTGCTACTTTTTGGCTGTAGGATCCGAAAGATACTTATCTCTCCAGGTTTCAAGGTCCTTAGCTGTGGTAAATGGGGACTATTTTGCAGGGATGTTATAACGATTAGCAATAATGTGTATAAAGTATCTTGTTGTAGTGCCTGGGCCATAATACACATCCAGTAAATGATAGCTATAAAAATAAATCACTTTTATGTATTAATTTTCAATTTACCATGTGACTTCACATTTGATTTGGAGGAGAAGAAACTGGAAGGTTTTTTTGCAATGCAGGTTCTAGCAAGATCAAGGAAGTTAAGACAGAAGGACCTAAGTGCTCCTGCCTTAGGACTTGTATAGAGAGCTAGTGTGTGTCATCGGGGTGGCTGATTGACATCCATGAAGTAAGGATGGTGCTAACGTTCCGTGTTAGCTTAGGGAATGCGATTGCTTTGTGAACTCAGGACATTACTATAGAGATAAAAGCAAGTTTAGTTCTTACAATGAAGTGACGATCTTTTTGGGGTTCAGCATGGATTCAATTGCCAGCCACTTATGCCCATTGGGGCAGTCATACGGAACTCCCAGGCCAGCTCAGGACATGCACCGTCTCAGCAGTTCAGAGAAAGAAGAAAATGGTGGGAGAAGTTGTCGTGGCAGCCTCTAGTATTCGGATTTGCTTGGTTATGACAGGAGGGATGAGATGGTAAAATGGAAGAAATTTAGTGAGCTCAAGTTTTATTATTTTAGAGAAATAATAAATGCTGAACAATGTGCTCTCAAAGAAGGGAAAACATCAAGTTTCCACAAAGAGCAGTGGTGTCAAAAGAGTTCATAATGACAGTTCATTTATTTTGAAAGGTATACTTCCATCTATTATTATATATTTAATTGATCTGTAAGTGGAAATATATAAGAAATTGGTTGCGTAAATTTATGTAACAGTGTGTACTCGGGATGTGGAGTTAAAGAATTATACAGACATGAAGAAATAAACATCTGACTCTAATTCATCTTTGTGGCAAAGATTTATTCAGCAAACAGACTAAGCCCCAATTATGCGCCTTTGTGCATAGTCACAGTGTTTAAAGCTGAAGCCACAAAGATGAATTAGAGTCATGCCCTTAAATAGCCTATAATCTAGTCAATCAGTGATGATGAAATTATCTGGAAGTTTGCTTGGACTTTTGGTTAGATATAATCCTGAAAGTTCCAAACCAGATAACAACGTAAAGAATTAGATAACTCTTTAAAGAATCTTATATCCAGATCTATAATATGCTGATTTTCAAAAACTTTGTATATTTATAATTTGATCCAAAGTACTTCTCCTTGTAGCTGTAATTCCTTATGTATTTTAACGGTATAAAGTGTGTCAAATTTGTCAGACTTTTAACTGATGACTCTGTTCTCTGTCTAAGCTGAGTGCTTCTACGATTTCCTTTGCATGTTAGTGACCCTTTTGTGTAAAGATTGCATATATATTTTTTGTATGTGTGTTTTTATTTTCAAGGAGTTCTGTATGAATTTTTTAAATTTGAAAAATGCAAACTTGTAGAAAGAATAAAAAAAGATCCCTCATATTTCCTGTCACAGAATCACAATTACTGTTCACTTTTTGAAAACCTCTAATCTCCCTTTTTCTGTCTATTGATTAGGAGAAAATGTAGTCATAATTATGCTGTGGTATAATTTTAGATCTTTTTTTTCCACTAAAAATAAATTAAGCATTTTTTCTTACTACTTCATTGTTTATAATGCAACATTTTTGAGGACTGCGTAATATTTCTTGCAAAGTATATGTAATGTTTGACTCAACCATTCTATTATTAAGTATTTGAGTTGTTTCTGGTTTTCCCTTAATATAAATAATGCTTTTTATGTTTCAATTTGTTTCCTTAGACTATATTCCAGGAGAAATAGAATTGCTGGATCTCAGGCAATTACATTTTTAGATTATCTCTCATGTTGGCAGGTCTTTAATACCAAGTTCAAATGGAATATTCGAGTAATTTGGAAACCGCAGTTGAGAATCACGGGTGATTTCTGCAGTCCTTTCAGAATTTCTCTTACAATGGCAGTGGCATCTTCCCTCCCTGACCAGTTGATAAATTATTTTGGAAAAGGCTCATCTCAAGTGAAGATATAGTTCCTGGAATTTTTCTATGTGCCATTATTATAAGACTTTTTTAATATGAAAAAAAATGCATGGTTACTGTCAACAGTACAAATTTATAAAGGGTTTTGCCTGTGTACGACCTTTCCTGTTTGCTCTCAGGCAACATCAGCATTAAGCAGTCCCCCTGAGTCTGACCTTACTTCTGTGCTTGAAAATGTTATAATAAAAGCAACTGTTTTCCTTTCTCCCTTCCACTTAGGCTACAGGGCCTAATTAAGATGCATTGACTTCTCCATGCCTAGTGAACTGAAAATGGTGGAAAAACCAAATTAGTGATGAAACACTGAAAAGAAAAACAAAATACAATATTGATCATAATGCTCAAAAACAGTTTTTTCTGTACCGTAAGATAATAAATGCTGTACCTTGTTTATAAATAATTAAAATTGATACTGATAATGTCTTCTCTTTTGAGCCTTCTGGCAAAGTTCTTAAAGGTTATCAGATTCGGTGGTGATTTCATATGGCCTGTGTCAACTTAATTTATTGTTGTTTTTTATAATTTATTTACTGTTTCAAGATGTGCTTTCCCCCCTTGTTTAAGCTGTTAACCCGAGGTATGTGCTGAAGAACTGGATGGCAGAATCCGCAGTGCAGAAGGCAGAACAGAATGATTTCTCAGAGGTGAGGTGGCTGACTTTTCTGAGTTTACTTTTATTAATTTAAAATCTATCATATTTTAAACACACTTATTTTGTTTGCAGATGTGCTAAACCGTACCATTGTGAACACCAACTTCACAGATTTCTCCCTGCTTGGGTGCCCTTATTTTGTTTATTAGCTGAATTATTTTAGCATATTTTCTATTTATTCTTTCACTTATTTAAATGTTTAAATATTCATTTTATGATGCACACATATATACATTATTTGAACTTCTGAGGGTGTGATTCTGTTGTTTATTGTTTGTGTTGTGAAATTTTGGATATTACTCTCTAAAATCCAGCGAAACCTGATTTGAGAGTGTATCTCTCCAGATGGAATTAGCATTTGTTTTACCAGGTATCTTTGGCACTACCTGGCTCCACTTTAAATTAATCTTGACAGCAATGAAGATGAATAAACTAGAGCTACATGCATAAGCATAGATGAATCTCACATACAATGTTAAGCAAAACAAGCATGTGGCAAAGGAATTCATATGGTATGTTACCACTTAAATATATTAACAATATAAAAACATGCAAAATCCTGTCAATATCATGCAATATGGCATCCACCATATTGGAAGTATTTTATTTCTGAAGTTGAATGGTAGATACATAGGAGTTCATTACATTATTCTGCATAGCTTCTCTGCCTCAAATATTTCATAATTAAATTGCTTAAAAATGTATCACACGTCATGTATTTTTAGAACAGGAATGGCCCTGGCTGTCATGCTGCCACTCTCCTGTCCTGTGCTGGGAGCAGACATTATTGGTGATGGTGGCCCTCTCTCTCTGTAAAACCAGTCAGCCTCAGGATCATTCTCATCACAGCACACCGTGTGGTCGCTGCCCATGGTCAGAGTTGGCACAAGACAGAAACTTTTTGCTGTTTCTAATTGCAACTTGCATTAACATTTTTTTCAGTAGTTTAATTAGCCTGACAATTCTAGGTTTTCATTTCAGAAAAAAAATATTTTAAAATATAATCTTTTTATGGTATTAAAGGAGAAACAAAGGGAAGGGAGGTAACTCAGCATTTATAGTTAGATAAATTTGTCTAAGTTGGGGGAACTAAACAGTATTTAATAAGTTGTTTTGTTGGCCTGTTTTTCTTTCCTTCCCGATCTTTCGTTCCTTCCCTGTTTCCTTCCCATCCCCAAAATTATATTTGAGTAATGACGCAGTGTGCATTGGGCAGGGTGGGAAGAGGTGGGAGGAGGTGTTTTCTTGGGTTCAAGTAAACATTTGGATTCACATGACCGTCACAGACATGCACCTGAGAGAGACACGGGACTGGGACGTACTTACCAACAGCTGACACCAGGTTCCTCGTGTGCGGGAGTTCTTGCAGCGGTCCACGCCCGCAGGAAGGCACAGCCACACGGCTCAGGCGCAAGGATGTGACAGCCACGCTGGGAAGCTGCAGGGGCAGCCCTGGCTTAGAAGCTTCCTGCGCCACAGAAACCAGTGTCTCACACCAACTCCGTAGGCATAATTTTCAACATCCTCCAAAGAGACGTGCCTTATGCCAAGACTCACCACACTTAGGAAAGCCTGAAGCATCCTATCAGGTCTTGGCAGTTCTCCCGGTCCAGAAGCTGTTTGTCCTTCACAGGCAACGCTGTGTGGGTATACAGTGGCCGTACCACTTTATCGGGTTACCAGGGAACAGGCCTAGAAAGTTAACTGAAGGTCAAATTCTCATGTGGGAGAGGAAAAAGATTTTGTCAAACGTTATGCTTGCATTTCTTGACACATACAACTAGTGTTTACTTTCTTTCACCAAACATTTCTTGAGAATCCATTCAACGCAAGGTGCTGTGGAGAATTGTAAAAATCTGTTCAAGGAGCCCTTAAACTGGCAGGTGAGAGTGATGGATATACACCTAACTTCAGTAAAAGGATATGTATAGAAACTACCAGGGAGAAGTTTCAAGAGGGGCTCTAAGAGCATTATATTTATAATGAAGCAGTCTTTACATTTAAAATATTAGTGATAAAATAAAGTACTCTTTTTGATCTCTGGGCTTTACTTAGTATAGGTAATCATCTACTTTTTTCTATCAGAACCAGGCATTTCCTTCATAATACCCAAAGCAATAACAAAACTACTGAAAATATGTATTTTGGTCTTAAATTTATTCTTGAAAGTGTGCTCTTTGGTGCCTCAGTTTATTACCATAGGGCAAAATTCCAAATGAGGAAGCAGCGTGAGCTCAAATTCATGCCCTTGATTTGGAAAGATTGCAAGTTATTAACATCCTTTAATTTTGTAAATATTTTAGAAAATTATCATTCTTTTAATGCTGTGAAAACCTTAAAATTACTAGGATATATTTGTATTCTTCATGATAGTGTACATACTCACTCTCTTAGTTTAATACAAAAGTAGTACTTAAGGAACTTTCTGTGAAATAATAGAAATCTAAGTACCAACTATAGTTGAGGTTTTAGTAAGAAAAATAGAAACATTTTCAAACAAACTTAAAATTTACCTTGCCTTTTTAGAAACTTAAAAATTAGGCCAGGCACGGTGGCTCACGCCTATAATCCTAGCACTCTGGGAGTCTGAGGCAGGAGGATTGCTAGAGGTTAGGAGTTGGAGACCAGCCTGAAAAAGGGCGAGACCCCCTCTCTACTGAACATAGAAAATGAGCAGGGCATTGTGGTGTGTGCCTATAGTCACCGCTATTCCAGGAGCTGAGGCAGGAGGATCACTGGAGCCCAGGAGTTTGAGGTTGCTGTGAGCTATGATGACACCACTGCACTCTACCCAGGGGGACAGAGCGAGACGCTGTCTCGAAAAAAATAAAATAAAAATAAATTAATGAGGGTCCTAAGTAAGAAAACCTAAATTTACCTATTTAAATTATTTACTAGGTCCATCTTCTACAGCAAGTTCTTCGGCATCCTTTCCAGAAGCATTCTGCAGCCGAGAAAGCAGGTTACGCTTCACCTACTCCTTCTTGGGCTAAAGATCTCAGAGTTAGTTGCTCATCTTAATTTGGGAAAAATAATTTAAGGAATACTTCTATCATTGAACTCATCATAGAATAATCTATTTAATACATTCTTGATCATCCACATTTTGATGACAGTCTTACATTTGATAATAATGATTATATATATATATATTTTCTAGCCAAATAAATTGGAACTTATTCTTTGAAACATCTTCGTGATTATTTTTGTTCTAATCAATAAGTTTAATGAAATAATAAAGTGTTTTCAATAAATCACATGAGTTTTTCTCCGTGACTAAGAAATCTTATGACAGTTATAATCAAAATAGACTCGTAAATATTCATCTAGCACTTACTATGTACTCAGCACTTGGGGATACATCAATAAGTATTTAGTTTTATTGTACTCCTAGAGGGGTTTTCTAGTATGAATTTTTAAACTTACCGAAGTAGGGAAAATTTTAGTAGTTTAATGAATCCAATTTACTATTTAATGGGCTTATTAATTATCAATACATGGCCAGTCTTGCTTTATCTACACTTCCACACACTTCCCCCATATTCCTAGTTATTGTTTCAATTGAGGTATAATTTGCATATCTCCAATTATTTTTAGGAAAATGCAGACATTGTTTCATTTCCTCTGCAAGTATTTCTGTATGCGTCTCCAAACACCAATGACTTAAAACACACACAGACCCATGATACTACAGGACCTTAAGACAAACTAGCAACTCAAAATGGAAAGCCTGGTGGCTCTCCTTGGTTCCCAGGACAAGCCACCAGGGTTTAGGCATACGTTTTTTTTCTTGGTCTGAGTTGAACTGGTTGTGAAGCTCAGGTGTCAGGATTAAGCAGGTGTCTGTAAAATTATTTTGCTCCTGTACTAAATCCTTGCAGGCAGAGAGGTGTTTCAGGGGCTTCCCTAAACCTTCACACAATCTCCTGGCTTAAATGTCCTACTTGGATTAGCACCAAGGAGATTGAAGGGGAACAGTGAACAGAAATCGTTCTCTCCCACCCACAGGTAACCTTTGCAAACCTAGGCACAAAGGTTATCTTTTCTGGCAAAGAACTTTCTGCCTGCTCTTGGGTCAAAGTTTCCTTGAGTTGGTGTTCTGAGAACAAAGGTGCCTTTTGTCAACACTGACTTGCAGGGAGGCACCAATTAGAAGCTTTGTTCCCTCTGGCGTAACAGGTAGAGGCAGTAGGAGGCAGTGTGGTGGGCAGGACGCAGGACAATGGGTCTGTAATCTTAGTTTACCTTTTCCTAACTGTGCGAAAGTTGGCTGGTTCATCTGGTATAAAATGGGCCCCATAATCCCCATTATTACCTGTGTCTCAGGTTGTGATGACATTAATGAGATAAATATGTAATTGGGTTCTGAAAAGTAAAATCAAGATGCATACGCTATTGGTAGAAACCAGAACACCGCATTTGGCTAATGTCTAACGGGGCACAGCCCTTCCTCTGCCAACAGTGGAATAGATAATAATGGTTTATATTTGTATAATGTAACTTCCCCAGAAATTTCAGGCAGCTGAATTGAATCCCTCTGTTTTTAGTGATAATTATCATGCAATTTTCATCTTATCTGGTTTCCATTTTATTTCTTCTTCTCCTTAATAACCTCATACTGCTGAAGATTAAATTTAGAAGTTTTTTGCTAACAAAGTGCCTTATGATTGAGTTTCTATTTTATTTCGTTTATTTACTTAGCATGATAAGCTAATTAACTGGTGATTTTTTTTTTTAAATTTTTTTATTTCTGAACAGGCAGTTGGGAATTGGTGCTCACACATAGCTAAGTGATTTCTATTCTGGGATTCTTTTATTTCTTTCCGCATTTGGAAATGCTTCCCTTCAATGGACATTATAGAAATAATGCAAATAGTAACAGCTGAAAGTGCATTGACAGGAAGAGACTGTCAGGCTTTGAGAAGATAATGAGAACATTAGAGAAACACAACTTTCTAATGTTCTTGACCTTTTAAAAATAGTTTTCAAAATTCTGTGCCTTCTAAAGTCTTGCTGATCTTAGACATATTTTCCATCTCTATCTCTGTGACCTTCAGAATTTTCAGAAAATTGAAAGAGGAAAAAGGGAAAACAGGACAGGCAGAGTATATTCAGTTTCTCTGAGATCCGTTGCTTGACTGATTGCAATCCTGCGCACACACGCTGTTTTATTTTGCTTTTTTAATGGTTGAATAACATAGTAATTTCAAAAAATAGTTATTTAGATAGTTTCTGGATTCTCTATTATTCCAATGCTGTAGATATCCCATAAATTAAAATGTAGGGACAGGGAAAGGCAATCATACATATTCTTCAACCTGTAATGTTTTCGTGCAGAGACAAATGTAATGCCCAGTTTATCCTAGGTTCTTGTTAATCCTATCATTTCTCCTTCTAATTGGCTTTGGAGAGGCCTTTTAGAGTTTCTTAGTTTTATTTTTATGGTTCTGTTTTTGGTTTTTTGTCTTATTTAACTGTCAAATTCCTCAAAATCCTCTTAAAGTGGGTTGATGTCGCACTCGATTTATGCAATGACATTTCTAGAAATACTGGTTTCAGGAAAGATTTTTTATTAATTCGATGCTTCTGAACATCATAAAATAAATGAACCTAAACCATCATTTTAGTTACCTTGGAGGGGACAGATATGTACATTTAGGCAGACAGTCTGAACTCCGTGTTAGGTGAATGGTCATGAATGTGTTATACCTGAGCGCAACAGTGAAAAGTCTGACATCATTTCTCGTCTGAAAACTTCCAACCTTTATCTACAATGAACCAGATGCCACGACAAGAATGTAGCAAAACAGGCACTTGAGGCGAGAGATGGCTGTCCCTATGCCACGCGGACGTCCCCGGATGTCCCTTAGGACATGTTGCCCCTCTTCTTCTGCAGAGCTTTCATGAGGTCTGACATGAAGTCTTGCTCCCCGCTTCCTCCCCCGGCGGGGAGTCCCGGGTTGTCGTGCCTCTTGGGGGGCATGGGCGGCCTCTTGGCGACCGTGGGGGACGGCCCTGCGCACTCCGGGCGGAGCGAGGGCGGCGGCGGCGGGGGCGGCGGCAGCGCGGAGCCCGGGTCCCCGGCGAGCACCGGCGGCGGCGGCGGCGGCGGCACGAAGTCGGGGGGCGAGTCGGCCAGCTCCGGCGGCGGCGGCGGCGGCAGCTCGGCGTCCCCCAGCGGCGGCGGCGGCGGCGGCGGCAGGAAGTCGTCGGGCGGGGCGGGGCTGCCGCCGGTGTCCGAGGACCGCCGCACGGGCGGGGGCGGGGGCAGGCTGGCCCTGGGAGCGGGGTGGGCCCTGGGCGCTGCCGGCTCGCGGTGGTTACCCGGCGCCGGCCTCTTCTCCTGCAGCGGGCGACAAGGCAGGCATTACGGGGACGAACGGCCCGGTGGGCGTGGCGTCGCCGCCGACACGCGGGGTCGCTCCGTCTGCCCCTCCCCCCGCCCCCGGGACCCTCCGTCCCGGTCACGGGGAGCCATATGATGGGGAAACCTAAAATGCACGCATTGGAGTGCAGCCCTTTGGGGACCCACTTAGCACTTCAACGAATTGGTTGCTCTGATACATTCAGAAAAAAAAGAAAAAAAGTAAAAAATCCGCAGGGCTTAAAACTCAGGGGTGCCACTTTCAGAGGGTGCTGAAATCACTGGACTAAACCAAGAAAATCACTTTGGTGCAAGTAAAAGTAGCTAAATACCACCAGCATTGAAAAGAAATTCTCACGTTTTCCCTAAGCAGTGTGATAAGAGTTGGTTTTAACTTTCTTTTTTTTTTTTTACATAACAAATGTAACCTTGGTAACTTTTGATTCTAGTGAATATAACTTTAAGATAAAAACATAAAACAATTTCCTACATGAACTTATAGTGATTTCTCGTTGCTCGAACCATGCTTTCTTTTTTTAGAAGAGCAGTTGTTGGAACGATGCTACAGTTTCAGAACGTGGGTTTACAGGTGACAGTTTGATGGAATTTGTGTCAGCTGCTCTGTGGCCTTACCTTGGCTGTTTCCGCCTGTCTCTGGGCCTCTTCTAGAACAGCACTGGCGGCATGGACAGCCTGGGGGATCTGCCCATTGGGCTGGGTGGCGCCCGTCTTAAGTCCTGAGAGGAAGGGAGAGAGACAAGAGTGAGCAAATCATTTTCAGCATTCTCGAAAATGAATCTGCAAATACAAAGCAGTTTCTATCTCTGTAGCAAAAGAAAGGGATTCACGGGCATTGTATAGTGCACAAGGGCTTATGAAAAATCTGAGGTTCTATGACCAAACTTTATATGAGATTCTGCAAAAGATTCAAGAAAGTGAATACTGTATTCGATAAAGCCTCCAGAGGAAGCTCTGGATTAGCTGTGACCCTAGAGAGAATAGTAGGTTCTGCTTTTAAAAACTTTTTGGTAATTGGAGAATAAGCCATAAAAACCTATTTTTTTAAATTCCTGTTGTCGATTTACCTGAAATGTATTTATCTGGTTTCATACCAGGCTGAGTACAGGAACAACTTTTGAGCATTATCCTCAACTAAAAGTACTTTGGACACAGAGACAATAGAGTCGGGAGAAATTCACACGACCCCAGTGTACCCTGGAATTAGATGTGTTCTTTTCCCTCCCACAGTCCTGATACGCACTTATTTTCCTGCCTTTTTAATTTATCCTTTTGCTGCAAAAGTGTGATTCTTGGAGGGTTTACAGTTTGAGAGAATGAGATGGCAGAAGCTGTACGTTGATGTCTCTGGCTCCTGAGAGGCGTGTCCCAGAGAGGACAGTCACCTCTCCACACACCGGGGCCATTTCTCCTGTGACTGAACTGCCACCCAGCCCAGCCCAAGACGTCTTCCACCCCTAACCCTGTGGATGCAGAGATGGCTTTAGCCATGTTCAGGACCAGCTATTCTGTCAAATATTTATGAACTGACTGTTTAGTTTTTCAAATAGTCCCCCAATAATTCGAAAAACCCATTGATCTCCATAACAACTCAACTCACACAAAGACTTCAGGAGATTTGAAAGAAGAGGGAAAGTTTGATGAGGAATAGGATAGTTACACCGTCTCCAAGTATTTAACAGTGATTAAGTAGAAAATGAAAAATCTATACAGGAGAGAAGTTGGACAACACTTTAGCCAAGTGGTCAAAATGCAAAAGAACATTGAACCGGGGCAGGCGGAGCAGTTCTTTGACAGCAAAGAGATCCTTTGCGATTCCATTGGGGACAGACAGACAGGGTCGTCTCCGGTTGTGAGACCCTGAGCAGGACACAGCAGCCCTCACGTCTGCCCAAAGTGCATAACCTGAAGAATTAGGAGGAAATATCAAATGAATCCAAACTGAGGGACATTCTATAAATGGCCCTTATTTGTAATAAAAGGTCTTGATAGACAAAGGCTGAGGCGCTGTTCCAGATGACAGCACACTACGGAACAGAGAACGACATGGGACACACGATCTTGGACTGAAGCTGTGCCAGGAGGAATATTGCGTTCAAGGGCAACACTGAGACGATTGGCAAAGCCGGAATATAGACTGTAGTTCCGAAAAATACACACTGGAGATTTAAGGGACAAAGGAGAGGGACATACGCCATCTACTCCCGAATGGTCCAGAAACAAATACGTACATGGATAACATATGCAGAAAGGAGTGTGGAGAGAGAAAATGACAAAAGAGATGTGGCAAAATGGTCATTATTGGTGATCTGGGTGAAGGGTACTCGGGAGTTCTTTGTTCTATTCTTGTGACTTTTCTGTATGCTTCAAATTGTTTCAGAATAAAAGGAGAAAAATACTTGTGTCCATTTATAAATTTGAAAGCGTCTTGGCTAAAACTCCTTGCTAAAGTCATTTTGTAAGTACTGGAAAATCCTCCATGGCTGTTCCCTATTAGGAAAGAAAAAAAAATCGCCATTTATCTAGAATAAATTACTTCTTGTTATATACTTTGGATACATAATAGAACAACACGGCCGCGTGTTTTTCGCAGTTTGGGGAATCCTAGCAGACATGCACGAATCCCATGTGGTTTGTAGCCCCACAGCCAGCGACCTTCCCTACTTGTGCACGTTTCTCCAGGACTCTAGTTCAACTGCGGAGAGAAGGAAAGGCCAGGAAGGGGAGGAGGTGGGCAGAGAGAGCTTCTAGATTCCCTGGGAAAAGTTGCTAACTAATGTTCAGAAGGCATCAGACAGATGGGACCTCTAGTCCCTGCCAAATGATTTCACAGCATGTCCTGAGGCGATGGAGTGTGAACGCCATGGTACCCTCAGCTGAGTTCTTGCTGGGATCCATCCTGTGAGGTTCCGAAGGTCCACTCTGCTGGGTGCTGACTCAGGGGAACAGTTCTTAGGGGTGAAGAAGGGGACTCCCTGACTAGTGCCCCAAACGGCTTGAGGTTCAAGTAAGTGCAGTCAGCCAATAACTCCTCTCACCCCAAGGAACATTTTTCCCCCAAGACTATTCTTTTTTTTTTTTTTTTTTGAGACAGAGTCTCACTCTGTTGCCCTGGCTAGAGTGAGTGCCATGGCGTCAGCCTAGCTCACAGCAACCTCAAACTCCTGGGCTCAAGTGATCCTCCTGCCTCAGCCTCCCGAGTAGCTGGGACTACAGGCATGCGCCACCATGCCCGGCTAATTTTTTCTATATATTTTTTAGCTGTCCAATTAATTTCTTTCTATTTTTGGTAGAGACGGGGTCTCGCTCTTGCCCAGGCTGGTCTTGAACTCCTGAGCTCAAACAATCCGCCCACCTCGGCCTCCCAGAGTGCTAGGATTACAGGCGTGAGCCACTGCGCCCGGCCCCCAAGACTATTCTTGAAGTTCACCTTCACTGCATTTTGAGGGGAGGGGGTGTTGGAAGGCCATATGGTTTGATTTGTCCTGGGCTCCTTGGATGGACATAGGTCTCTTAAACACTTCCCAAGAGCCCTGTTGATTTTGTGCCATGAATTCAGGTGGAGACAGAGAGGCTTCAATAACAGTATTTGGCAAGAACTGAATTTTTTTTTTTTCTCTTCAAGATGAGGTCTTGCTCTGTTGCCCAGGCTACAGTACAGTGGCATTATCATAGCTCACTGCAACCTCAAACTCCTGGGCTCAAGCGATCCTCCTTTCTCAGCCTCCAGAGTAGCTGGGACTACAGGCGCTCACCACCGTGCCCAGCTAATTTTTCTATTCTTAGAAGAGACAGGGTCTTGATCTTGCTCAGGCTGGTCTCAAACTCCTGACCTCAAGTGATCCTCCCACCTTGGCCTCTCAAAGTGCCAGGATTACAGGCGTGAGCCACCGTGCCTGGCCAAGAACTGGATTTTAAAAGATGGCATCATTTCTTCACCACTAAGATGCAATCATGGCCATCCTATGTGTCCGTATATATGTATAACTGAGAAGAATAAACATCAGTCCCTTCCAAGCTCACCTTTACTTCCTTCCAAGCTAGTCACTGATGCAGCTAAAATCCCACGCAGCAGGTGCTCGTGGCAATAAATTCTAAGGCATAAATGAAAAGAAAGCTTGAACTGAGGGTTTGTTTCCCCTTCAGAAGCCCATGGAAGCATTTTATTAATAAGCAGGGAGGGCTCCCAGTATGTTTATTTTAAAATCTCAGCATATTATTCTCTGCAGGGCTTGCAGCAGTGGCAGAACCTAAGAATTTGTGCTAAATAAAACTCTGTAGCAGCAAGAACATGGGTTAATTTCCTATCTACTACGGGAACTCCCAAATTTATAGCCAGTAAGTCAGAAGTGGGGGTGGTCTGGGGACCCCCTAGGGTCTAACCCTGCACATTGTCAGCATGAGATTGGAGTCAGTAAGAGTTAGACAGCCCCACAGGTAACAGGGTTACCTGGGCAGGTGTTACCCATTCAATTGCTTTCCTTGATGTGGGTAACTATATAAAACAGGGATGGGCCACCTTTTTCTGTGAAGGGCAAGATAGTAAATATTTTCACTTTTGCAGACCAGGGAGTTTCTGCTTGCAAAGTGTGGCTGGCATCTGGAGTCAGGACAGCCCTGCTGGGGACTATGCCGTGCACCTGTGGAGCCTGCACTAACTCTGGGTGGGGACGCCAGCGGGTGTCGGGGCAGGGGGCCGGAGCATGCGCGGAAGCACTGCGAGGTGGGAGGGGCACAGGTTAGGATGGGTCCAGGTGCAGGTCTGTCGTGGTTTAGTGGGGAGAAGGTAAAGGAGTTCCTCATTGCACGATTCCATTCGTTTCTGCTGCAGGTACAGGGTTAGGGATTGGAAGTCTGAGGAGGGTGGAAAACATCTGAAACTAGGAGACTACGTTGACTGGAACAGGTTTTCTCAATATTATTAAGATTTGGGCCTGGAAAATTCTTTGCTGTGCGGGGCTGTCCTGTGCCTTGTAGGAGAGGCAGCATCCCCAGCCTCTACCCACTGGGTGCCACTAGACACCTCTGAGATGTGACAACCAAACAAGACTCCCGACATTGCCACATGTCCCTGGGGGACAAAATCACCCTTGGTTGAGAACCATAGAGCCAGAGAAACAGGCTGACAGGAGGTATCACGGGCCCAGTCATGGTTGACATCCAGAGGTGTGTGGTAGAATCAACAGGTGGCTTGTTACGTAGGGCCCTCCGGGGGGAAAGGGACCCTCCAACTCTCTGCTCACCCCGGGGAAGCTTCCCACCCTCTCTCCTTCTCATCCTCCAGATTTACTAGTTTAACAGCCATCTGGTTCCTTCCTTTCCTTTCTTCCTTCTTCCCTCCCTTCTCCCTCTCTCCCTTCTTTCTTCCTCCCTTTTCTCGAAGTCACTGGTGTTAAAACTGAGACTTAGGGGAGAGAGCTGTCCATTCCGTGCTTTGAGTTCAAGCCACGTGACTCTAGGCCGTCCTACCAGAGAGCCATGAGTTGGGAGTTGTGGCCACCGGCCCAGCGAATTGTAACTTAGAACTTCATTTGCCATGGTTCCTCGTTTCTGTATCTCCTTCTCTTGGGAAATTCACAGGCGGGCTGCCCGTGGCTGGATGTGGGATCCGTGGGTGTCCTAGCATCTCACAGAATGTCCAACTCCACCAAGACACGACAGAGTCAAGGCCCGGGCTGGGAGGGTGCTCTGTTTCCACCCCACGTGGGTGGAACTGTTACTCAATTCCAATGTTAACCACCTGTAGTTAGTATCGGACTCCACAGATTCCAGGGCTCGACCTCTACAAGCTGGCCTCCACTTCTGAAGCCTGCCACAAGTGGGGTCCCCAGCCACCTGCACTTCTTATCAGCCCTCTTCAAATTCAGGGGTTCCTAGAACCCCTTTAGGTTTCATTATTTTCTAGAATGACTCAGAGAACTTAAACAAGCACTATACTTATGATTTCGAGTTCCCCAAAATCAAAGAACTTAGAACCTTACAGTTTTTCCCTGGAGTCAGACCGTGTCTGTCAACGTCAATCCAGAGTCTTAAAAAAAATGAGATGTCTATGAAAAATGGGTCATCAAGGAAACAAAACATGAATCATACTTAAATATGATCCTGAATTTTTCTTTTCTAGACATGAGACTATGTCTACATGAAAGGGGATGTCAGATCAGTTCCACACTGAATTTATGAAGTAAGCACCCAGTCGTAAGGTATGAATCATAACTAATTTCGATGTCCTGGGTGGAGGCCACATACAGAGACTGGTTCGAGACCATTTTGAGGAATGAATCCTCTAATGACCTTCAGCGAGTCCTCCTAGGAACGCTAGATTTAGAAGAGATTTGGCATATGCCGATTTCTGGAAACAGCCCAGAGGAAGAAACTGGGCACACTTCTCTAGCCCTTGTCAGTGAGTGAGATTTGAGCTTGAGTGTCTGCCCCAGAATGAGCCCAGGAAAGGAGGCCGGTGACCCCGGGACAGATGCTACAGATGATGCCAGAACGCCTCGTCCCAAAGAGTGGCCACGTCTTGGGAAGGAGAAACCTGACAGTTCAAGAACTTCAAGTGGCATTTCCCCCCCAAGCTGGAGGACTGAGAGAATTAGGATTCCTTCTACAGTCATTGGGACCCAACTGCCAGCCAATCTCAGCAGCCCTTTGTTCATTAACTCAACAAATACACCAGGCTTATAAACCCTGGAGACACAACGTGGAACACGCAGGAATGTTCTTTGTCCTTTTCAGATAAGAGTGGAGGGAAACAGGCAAAAAGCCAGTTAACAACTACATCGAATAATTACAAATTGAAACAAGTGCTCTGATGAAAACAACTCGGCACAAACACTTGTGGGGAGCTCTGTTCACAGAGCAGCCGGACTGGACTCATCTAATGAAAGTATCTTTTTTTTCATATTAAACTTTTTATTAAAACTGAGTCCCCACAGATATACATACATCTCAAATTCATACCAGTGACCTGGAATGCCTGAGTATTCAAGTTGTGGGTTTTCCACATAGTAAAAAACACTTTTCATCCACTTTATAAAGGACACGGCAGATCCAGAAAGAATAACCTTGGCTGGTAGACGCTGTCCCCCGAAGAACAAACAGAGGTCCTCAACAGGATTAAGTTTATCTTCAGAGGCTTCGTCCAAGTGCAGGTCAGTCTATGGTGTGAGGAACGGTTCCCACCTAGCAAGGCTCTGTTCAGAACAGCGGATACTATCCTCGGCCACATCTGTAAATGCTGACCTGATGTCACTTTGCACATTTTGTTTCCATCTTTCCCAGTCTGCTTTCAGGGCATTAATAGCACATTCTATTTTATCTTCAAGTTTTCCAATCTCTTCTGGTAAGTAGATCAGTATCTGCCTTTTTATAGGTCAAAGCTTCAACCGTGGAATCCAGTTCTGCTTGTATTTGGTCTCTTCTTTTCGTAACACCCATTAACATTTCACTATAGAACACGTGCTCGTGTCCGACCGGAAGCAGGGCCTCTGAGAGTCCGGACACCCGTGTTTCAGTGGCTTTACGGCGTTTGTCAAGACAGCCGGCAACATCTTCTAGAGTATCAACCAGATCTTCTGGCGCTGACCACAGGATATAAATCAGGCCATATTTTTTCATTTCATCAAGATATGCTCTTCCTTCCTTGTAAATTCTCTGAGATATTTCATCTATCAAATTTATTTTCTGGCTAAATATTTCAATAAAGTCATTCATTTCCATGAACAACTCTGGACGGTTTTTAACTCCTCTTGTTGAGCATGCCCCGTCCCCCTCAGTGACCCAGGCCCTTGCGTCTTGTGAGACGCCAGTCCCCAAGCTTGTGCAGTGACAAAGACTTTGAAGTCTTCACTAAATGTTAAAGCTGGATGATCAGCAGTTCGGTTCAAAAATTTCTGTAATGGCTTCCTGCGTGTCCCAATGAGGTCAAAATTAAAGCGTCCCACCGTTTCTCTTACTATCAACTTTCTGGCAGTGGTGGAGTAATCGGAGTGGGGTGCGCTTCTTCAAGCTCTCCCTTCGACCAAAGGGAATCTTCATAACGTCCCCTAACTTCAAATTCCCTGGAGTCCAATTCCCCATGAGATGTCTTAGCTATCATCCTGTAAGTGATAAAGTGTGAATTGTAGTAACATGGCTTTCGGGTTCATCAACCGTGATGAAGAGATGCTTTAAGTCTGGCTCATCTTCAAACTTGATTGGGTTTGTCATTGAGAAAGGGGACGCTGGCATCATGGGGCTGAAGGAGCTCACGTCCACGAGCGAGGCATCTGGGCCCCGCTGTCTCCGCCGCTCTGACCACACAGGCCAAGGCCGCGTCCTTCTCCATCCCAGCCGTGCTGAGTGCCTCCTCAGCCCCATTCTCAACCGGCCACGCTGGCCATCGGCTCGGTCACCTTCCATAGTTTTGTCTTGCTGAACACCTGCAAGCCATCCTCATCCTTGTCCAGGTCCAGCACCTCAGCCTGCAGCAGGGCGGAGGAGCCGCTGCGGCCCAGGGAAGGGGTGCTGGCCCCTGGGCTCTCCCCCTTGGCGCCCCGGCCAGGAGGCCCAAGGACAGCGCCTTGATGAAAGTATCTTCACATGTTGGGTCAAAGGTACCTTATTGTAATCTCCACACTCTCAAGCCCTTTGAAACAGCGAAGAACACATATACCTGCCTTGACAGGACTGTCTTTAACACCGGACAACAATGATCAGAACTTCTTCTGCCACAGATGGCTCCAGTTCTTTCAACCATTATTTATCATAAACACGATGTGTTTGAATCCCAGCTCGGCCACGTAGAAGGTTCTAGATACCAGCGTCTCCCACCTGCAGTCCCTCAGCTGTGGAGTGCGGATCACGATCTGTATTTTGCAGGGCTGCTGTAAGAACCAGAAATAGTCCCCGCTCCATCCCTCGGTGTCCCGTTCTCCTTCTTGAAAATACAGACAAGTTGCTGTTACGCTACCCTCGCAACGTGACCTCCAAGACTGGGTGCGAGGCTCTAGCCACAACGTCACTGAGGCGAAACACCAGGGTGTGATGTCTCCCTTGGCGTGGTTAGGCTTCTGGGCACTAACGGAGCCTCGGCAAATGGAATATTTGTGCTCTGATGAGAAACACCTCCCCAGTCACCTTAGCTCCCCCCAAACTGGAGGTCAGCACCTTGGCCACAAGCATGTCCTGAAAAAAGCGGTCAAGGCTTTATTAAAGGTCACTTATAAGGAAACAGATACGGAGTGTTGTAGGGGGGCTGGGGAGGGGGGCAGTCAGCCCGACTGTCAGAAGAGGAACATTTTCTGAATGGTGTCTACAAGGTTCTGCTTTTACAGAATGGACTGGATGCGTTTTGAGCTTGAGCGCTGAGCTTTGAGTGTGCGTTGGAATTGCCTCTGCTTCGTACCTGTGCAAGGCTGGGCCGGTGTCACTGCGTTGACAGTCCCCAGGCTTGTCCACCGAGAGGCAAGGCCAGCCCTCGCCATGGCCCGCTGATAGTTGTCATAGAGTGTCTTCCCGTACTAGAGAGGGGACACAATGGGAGAGAGAAAAGAATCCATTTATCCCCAATTCTGCACTTAACTGCAATATACACATTGGACATTTCATGACTACCAAGTTGGTTCTTTGGTATATTTCTATTAAAAATATCCACAAATTGTTTTTTCCCATGTTCAATAATTTTCCAGTTGAGCACAGTTCATTAATCCTTTAACCCACACATTAGAGAGCTTTACCCACACAATTCTGATCACATGTGCCGTTACCTAATTCTGTCATAGATTCCACTTTGTGTTTCTTTTCTTTTCTTTTTTTCTTCCCAAGACAAGGTCTTGCTCTATCTCCCAGGCTGGAGTGAAGGGGTCATCACAACTCACTGCAGCCTCAAACTCCTGGGCTCAAGCGATCCTCCTGCCTCAGCCTCCCCAGTAGCTGGGACTACAGGCATGCGCCACCACGCCCGGCTAATTTTTTCTAATTTTTGTGGAGATGAGGTCTCGCTCTTGCTCAGGCTGGTCTTGAACTCCTGACCTCAAGTGATCCTCCTGCCTCAGACTCCCAAGTAGCTGTGACTATAGGTGCCTGCCACCACTCCCGGCTAAGATCTTGTGTTTCTTAACTGCACTCTAAGCTTACAATGATCTCCATGAGTAAATATCTGAAAAATCTACGTGAAAGCAAACCCTTGATTCTCAGGGCACCGGAGAGGTCCCTGTTTCTATACTCGCCACTATTGAAAAACCCCACTGGGCAGGTGAATAAGATGATGTCTGTGGCCGTACCCAAGAGTGGGTCAACTGCTTTGCAGTGGCACAACAGCTGGACCCAGGTCAGGAGGCTGGCACATGCAAGGTAGGGGGCGTCGGGGCGCGCTCTCACCTTGGCGATCCGAATTCCCATAACCCACTGGTTGAGAGTTCTTGCGTCGTCACAGCAGAGGTACTTGATATACTGGGACTCCTTCTGAATCTGGGGATGCTAGAAAGAAGCAGGTTCAAAGATCATTTATAAACACTTCACTTAGGAGCTCAAAGCACCTGTCAGAAAAAAATTTTTTAAAGCTAAATATATGTGATTTACTGAGGTGGTGGCAAAAATTGCTGGTTGCTATTTTATGATGAGGAAGAGGAAAGCTTTTAAAAAATGATTGAATTTTGAAAGGATTTAAGACATTTGTCATATATTTTATCATAAGCACTTTTTATTCTATTATCAATAATAATTTTCATGTCTGCATTTTTAACTTCTGAAAGCCTTTACCTCTATCATGTCCCCAAAAGGGATCTGAGCTGTTTCTCCCTTTGTCGGATGATAAGAGAGCTTACCTGATCTGATTCTTCCATCACAGAATTGATGCCTACAGGAACTGTGGTTTTGTGACTTCCACAATCTAGTCCTGGGGTTATTTCTGCTCCCAAGAACTCAGTTTGGCAACGACGACTTTCTTAACTACTATCTCCTACCCAAGTGGGCCAGTGGCCTCCGGGTGCAGAGCCCGGGGAAGGGACATTTCTGTCTATTGCACTTAGGACAAGTGGCACTAAGCAGTGGCTTTGGGTGCTGAACAAGGAGGGTTGTCCAGGCCTTCCGGGAGCTGACAAAGAGAACGATGATAGGGACGGGCATGAAGGAGAGAGAGATACCCTGCGCTCCTCTTTCTTAATCCTCATCACCCTTAATGATTTCCGCATTTTGTTTCTGTCTCTGAAAGACTGTGTCCTCCACCAGGCTGGGAGCTATGTCGTCTTATTCACTACTTAGCACCCGGCCCAGAAGCACGGCAGGTGTTCCAATAATTGTGGAAGGAAATAACTCAAGCACATTTCCTGTTCCATTGGAAGTCTTGCAGCTGTCAGGAGAGGGGGGCAGGCAGCCAAACCCAGGTTCTAAAACATGTGCCATGAGGATTTTCGTGGATCATTATAACTTTCAGTAGACTTTATTATATAGAAAAATAACGACCAACCACACCATCATGTGTGTGGGGGGGAACTACCTCTTCCTTCCTTTCCCTCTGTTTTTCAGAGGAGTTTGGTCATCCCGGTGGGATAAGCATAGGCGATGTGGAAACCAAAAGAGCTGGAAGCATCTGCCTACTCCCCAGCGGGCAGGAGAGGGGGCAGCTGTCCCACGCCTCCCCAGGGCACTTGAATGGCCTCCAAGACAATGGCTGTTTTCAAAGTTGATCTAATCAAAGGGCCTGGAGTCTTTAAACTTGGGCTGGAATCAAGAGGCAGCGTCTACACCAGTCCCCCTCCAGGTCTGTCTGGCGACCCGGCCAGCAGGAGCCTGCGCTGCTGTCTCTGCCCAGGAAGGTAACGAGACACCTGTGAGTGCTTGATGAGAGTTCAGTAATTTTCAGTTTCACAAATGAGAAAACTGAGGCTCCGAGAGGTTACCGTACATCTTACCCCGTGACCCCCCGCCCCCCAGAACCTCGGGGGTCTTTTGACTTATCACCTAGAATGTCCGTATTTATGTTAAGCTATCAAGCCCAAAGCAAAAATTTAAAGATACCACAGAAAAAATTCAGTCGTAATAAAGAATTCCTCTGTGTGGCCTTTCGAGGCAATTGAGGAAAGTCTACTCTTATGTTTTATCTTTAAATAGGCTGTTTTCTTGATTTAGGTCCCTCGGCCCTCAGAATTTGCATCTGAAGACGGGCAATGCCCGTTGGCAGGTTCCTCTCTCCCGGGGGGGTGGGTGGGGGGGTGGAGGGGCGGTGGAAACAGCCCCACGCCGGCCTCTGAACGCGGCTGCAGTTTCCCATCCGGCCGGCAGATGGCAGAAAACGCTTTCGAATGGCGGCTGCACATGCTACCGCGGTTCAATGCTTCCTCATTAATTCCCAATATTAGATTTTATTTTTTGCAAATGTTACTTCAATAATCATCCTCTTTGGAGGCCCTTAAAATTGGAAATCTCTATCAACTCAGGTAACGTGGCCCAATAGCAAAAAGGATTCGTTGCCTCAATTAACCTGAAGGTCATATTGATGAGAAATACACTAAACAGAGCTTATGGGATGGAAAGGGGCATCCCACCGATGCCTGCAGCATTCTCTTCGACACTAAAAACTGCAAAGCCAGACCGATGCCCTTGTCTTTCAGCACCAGAAACACAGCTCTCTAACCTACATAGCATTCTTAGTTCTGATTGACATGGAAGAGGGGCGAGTGTCAGTCTCTTCTGCAATTTAATGTTTATAATTCTTCTTAAAAAGCAGCATTTTTCCTACCTTGAGACATTTAGAAAGTTGGCATTGTTACTTTGAGTTTAGCATATTAACTTTCTTTGGTTTGGTTTTCGATGCATGTCAGGTGAGAGCCCAATTTCCAGGAGTAAGCTATAAATCTCAGTGTGCTTGCAGTGAGACGCACAAAGCAACTATTTGCATCGAAGTGTCCTTTTAAGCAGCAAAACAAACAATTCCTTAAGTATGTTATTCATCTGAATATAGTAAAATGTGGTCATTCCCTTAAATAAAACAACTTTTGAATATAAAACAGAGGCAAGAACTCTTGACGATGGGGTAGATAGACGTATAGACCTTGCTGAGGCCAGTCTCACCAATCTCCTTACACTGCATGCGTGCTGTGAAGGTGTACAGGGGAATTAAGCATCAGATATCTCCTAAGGTCTCTTGCAGTCCTCAGATTTTATGGTCCTTAGATGAGCTACCGAGTGGGCACGACACTCCTTTCCGGTTCCCTTGGCAATGCAGAAATCCTTTAGGCTTCCAGGACATCATACAGCAAGTCCCTGTGGGGTGTTCTCCATCTCGTCTTAGACCCCGCCTCGGGGCTTCCCTGACTAAGCCTTTTGCTGAAAAATTATTTGCAAAGAGGTTTAAGGAAAATGCTAGTTCAGTGTTACTGGCCGGACTCTTCTGCAATTGATTCGATTGTTCCTGACCATAAAAATAGGGAAGCTCTCTTAGGACATGAGCACAGCACACAAAGGTCAGGGCAACTGCAGAATGTCACTGCTTAAGGAATCTCACAGATCCTCTAAGCTTACAAAATGAGGAAACCGAGTGTCAGGGAGGTTGAGCAATTCATCCAAGGCCAAAGGAAGTGGCGGAACCAAGGCCCTATTTGTTCAACAAATACCTCTGGGTGCTAAGAAGTATACTCATCCCTCGTATGTAAAGATGAGTAAGACAGAGCTCGCACCACCACTGGGCGATGGTAGCTGGGGGGTGTTGCTCGGGGAGATGTAAACAAATATGTGATTACCCCATAATGCGGTCAATTTCATAATAAAAGTTTGAAAATGGGCTGAAAAAGGCTCTGTAGAAGTGACAGATGTTGTAATACGTTTGGGGACTGTGGAGAAATCCTGTGTGGCTGAATTCTGGGAACCATGGGAAGTAGAGGCAGAAATTTAGCCTGTGAGGGGTTGGAGTAAAAGGCCGTGCGTCCAGCAAGAATCTAAACATGGTCCTCTACGCCAGTGGTCCCCAACCTTTTTGGCACCAGAGACCGGTTTCATGGAAGACAATTTTTCCACAGACCAGGGCTGGGGGTGGAGGGGAGGGAATGGTTTTAGGATGATTCAAACACATTACATTTATTGTGCAGTCACACCTAATGTGCTATGATAATCATTGTGCTGATGATAATCTGTATCTGCAGCCGCTCCCAGCACTAGCATCACCGCCTCAGCTCCACCTCAGATCATCAGGCATTAGATTCTCACAAGGAATACAACCTGGATCCCTCACATGTGCAGTTTACAGTGGGGTCTGTGCTCATATGAGAATCGAATGCCAATGCTGATCTGACAGGAGGCGGAGCTCAGGCGGTGATGCGAGTGATGGGAGCAGCTGTAAATATAGATGAAGCTTCACTCGCTTGCCCACCGCTCACCTCCTGCTGTGCAGCTGGCTCCTAACAGGCCATGGACCAGTACCGGTCTGTGGCCCGGGGGTTGGAGACTGTAGCTCTAGGTGGTAGGGAACATCAGACATTTTAAAACAGCAGAGTGACACAGGAAGTGGCAGGTGGCTACGTGGGAGGTGGAGCTGGCGAGAGGGTTAGGACCAGACGGTGGGAGGGCGGAATGAGGGGCATGGACAGAAACCCAAAGAACCTGCTCGGAGATTGAATGAGAAGTGGGAAGAGGAAGGAATATCTTTCTGTTTCTAGCCTCGTAGAGCAGGTGGGTGTTATGGGTTTAATTGTGTCCTCCCAGCACAAAGATATGTAGAAATCTTTGCAGATGTAATCAAGTTAAGATGAGGCCATCCTGGCTTAGGGTGGGCCCTAAACCAATATGACCAGTGTCCTTTGTGTGCTGCGCTCATGTTCTAAGAGAGCTTCCCTGTTTTTATGGGCAGGAACAATCAAATCTCGAGCAGGCTAGAAGAAAGGTCTAGTGATAAGAGAATGTTGATCCTAAACCCCAGCTCTAAGAAAGTTCAGACAGGAAGTTAAGAGAGTTTGTTTGCAAGAGAACACACTTATGTATCTAATAAGCATGAGTGGCCTCGGCCGAGTTCATGAACCTTTGAGAGTTTCTGGTTCCACATCTTATAATATAGGGATGATAGTGCCTCCTCCCTTGAGGGGTCATTGAAAAGATTAAATGAAATAATGTGTATAAAAAGGACCCAATAGGGTGCATGTAACATGGCAGGGCAGCTATTACTATTACTATTAAATATTGCTAATGATGAGCTAGGTTTTGAAGAGCACAATGGGGGAGGGACTTGACATGCATTTCTGTTCATCCATCCATCCATCCATCCATCCATTCATACAGTGTGTCCAATACTGATCCAGTCTCTGGAACACAGTAGTGAACACAACAGAAAAACTCCCTGCTCTCAGGGCGGTTATATTCTACTAAGGGAGAAAGCCAATAAAAGTTTAAACACTAAGTACTATCATTTTACATTGTCAAAAAATACTATGAAGAAAATATAGCAGATTGCATAAGCCAGGAATTTGAACAAAAAAGAAAAACAATAAAGC